CCTCGTCCTGCAACCACTTACTATTTCAGGACTCACTGTTTTCAACTGTACCAAGTAATGAAACAATACTTGTGAAAGATAGTTCGTAAAAGCAACAAGTATTTTATGTTTGCAAGGCAAATATGTACAGAAATGCATTTTTTTTGCTTATTTGAGGGAAAGAAAAGCTTATTTTTTTTATATTCTCTAACTGATTAAAGAAACTTCCAATATGTACATAGTTTGTTTTTTTAATAAAATTGAAATTGGTACCTGCAATATCAAACTTCAAAATAAAACACAAATTCTCAGTTTTAGCTTACATCAAAGATGGAAATTATTGTGTGGTTTTGGAAACCGAAAGAATTCCAAGATGGATATAGAATTTTTTTTATGACAGCCTGTTTCATACACTTAGTAAGAGCAGTGTGAAGTTGAAAGTGTGCGTCTTAATGAAGCAGAAACTGTAGGGAAACTTTATAGTAACTAAATTAGTTATTTATATATATATATTAACTAGATATAGTAATAAGATTTAAGATTCAGCTAGATTACACTTATGCTTGTGATAGATATATTGAGTTGAAGCACCCTTAAAAATGATAATACTTTTTGATGTATATATAAATTATTCAGAGTACTATTTTTTTGAATTTGTTATTAGTATTGCAGAATATATTCTAACATTTTTCATGCAGGTGAATACTAATAGATGGCTTTATTTTGGCAGGTTGTCAAGTTATTAAGTAACAAAAGATCTCAAGCTGTTGGAATATTAATGTCTAGCCTTCACTTAGACATGAGGGACATTCAGCATGGTAAGTGAAATAAATATTGTTGATTCTATCTCAAGTTGCATCATTAATTATCTGGAAATCATTTTTATTCCTGTATTTTCCTATGTAAAAAAAAAAAAAAAAAAAAGTTTTCTTTTAGTCTTCTGTGAAAATAGCAGATTATGGCATTTATTTTTACTTTTGTAACATATTCAATTTTCCAATATAGTAAATAGACATGTTGAACATTTATCTGCAGAATTACCACCTATAGTTTTGAACAGCAATTATCTATGTGGCGTGAAATCTAGACTCCTTGATCACAGAGGGCTGTGATGTGTTGTTTATTCTAATTCAAAGTGCCCAAGAGTATATCCAAAGAAGTGTATTACAACACTTAATTGATTTGCTGTCTAAAGTAGTTCATATTAAGGGGGTTAGCTCAAACTGGAGTTATTTCATCTTCAACAGCTGTTTATAATGGGAGATTTTTTGGAAGGAGTATAATACTTATCACATTTATGCTAAGAGACAGTAGTGCAAAAAGGTGAAAAGTAGAATTGCATTTATATTCAGAGCATCCTTTATGTTTCCCAAAGGCTTTAAATAGATTTGAAGCAGATTGAACTACCTTGTGAAGTGCCAGCCTATCTATTAAATAAATGTGGTTTCAAGTATAACAGAGACTTCATAAATCACGAAAACATCTTGTGAACTTTCTAGGTTACATATTGACAGCCATGCATTCAGTTTACTATGATTTGCTTACTTCGTGAAATTATTCCTAAGTAGAAGCAAATTTCAGTGCACTCTGTCAGCTAATGAGTAACTCTTAATCACAAGATTAAGTTTTTATTAAACTGTTTTGATGGTTAGGAGACTTCCTCAAACTGAAGCACTTAAGATGGTAGTCATAGAGCAAGGCGCCAGTACTGGCGCCAAGAAGTACTTGGTATTTCCAAAGCTGGCAGATGTAGTTGAGTTAAGTCATAGAGCAAAATCTGAAAACAATGATATAGTCCTTTCCTTCAGTCAAATATTCAACTTGGTTTCAGTTAATAATGAGAACCTTATGAACAAAGGAGTCCGCCTAACATCTGTGTCTGTGGTAAAGCCAACACAAGTTCATTGAAAAGTTGCTTGCTTAACATGCAACACTAGCAATAACATGGCATGAATGTCAGTAGTTGAAGGGGTCAAACAATACTATGCTTAACCTTTATTCTACTACAATATGAAGTACATGTGATCATCTAAGAGCTATGTGCAGATTTTGTACACCCCTTCAATAGCTGTTGTTAAAAACCAATAGTTTTTGCAAAGGAGAATTTAATAGTACTCTTACTTCCTGCTGTCCAGAAGTAATTGAACAAACATGAGAGAAATTTTATCTGATAGAAGGACTTGTGGAAATGGTTGGAAGATCATGGTTTAAAAAATAGGTTTGGTGTGTTGGTATCTTTATTTTTTAATATAAGCACGCAGGAAAAGCGGTGAGGAGCGGGAAATAGTGTAGTGGGAGTTAGACAAATAGAAGCGATAAATCACTAAAAAACACGTTTCTGGTACCAGTAACTCCGTGCAGAATTTTGAGTGATCTGACCATAAAGCTTGTGTGAGATGTTATAAAATTAAACACCCATGAATTGAGTTTTGCCTTTATGTACACTTGCTTATTAAACAAGTAAGAATTCTCTTATTTTTTTTTTAAGTTTTAAGCTTGCTGGCTTATCTGCTACAGTTTGAATAATCTAAAGAGAAAATGCTACCAAAATTAAAAGAGAAAATTGAAATAGAAGCTGCATTAGCAATATAGAACTTGTATTTCTTTTTTTATACGTTAAGATTCAAAATACGTGATAAATACAGCGAAAACTGTTATCAGTGTTCTTTGTCCCCTAGCCCAGGGCTTTAGTAGCCTTCTTGTGCTTTTATGATTTTTACTGTGTAACTTTGAGAACTTGTGGTACCAGTTAACTTTCTTCACTGGCATTCTTCTTAATACTCCCTGTAAACTATATTTGGTGGAAGTAGTGTTAATACAAACTGAAGAAGTAGTTTTATTTTCTTTTCAACTGACTTAGAAAAGTACAAAGAGCAAATTTCAGTACAGTGTGGTATTCACTGATTCCTTGCTTTTATGCTGTTTTATTTTTCTACTAGTTTAGACAAATTTCAAAATGTTACAGGAAAAGAAGGGAAAATAATTGTGCTAGCTATGAATTCACGTAAAAAGCTTAAGGTTTCAAGTTCTAATCATAATGAAGTGCTTAAAATAACTTGAAAGTTAAGCTAATGTATTTAATATGTTGCAAGGTTTTTGGTTTGTTTTTTTGCTGATTTTTGAAGATGAAAAATACATGTGAAATATTGTCTGCAAGATGAAAGATGGTTTAGAAAACTTGAAATTGGATATTTTAACTAATCTAGAATAACTAGTATATGTTCTGTGTATGTGTGATCAGATGGCATTTAATGGAAGATCTCAAGCAATTGGAATACATACTAAATGAATTTGGATGCTGATGCTGATGATGTCATTGTCTGCTGGTAGAACTGCATTTATTTGCTCCTGACTTGAAATTGAGTTTAGGAAGACAAACTCCAAAATCTTGGCTGTTGTTTAAATAGTCTTACATTGTGGAAGTACTAGAGTGTATTTGTGCTGAACTTTTACACACATTATTCTAATAGTGCTTTAAAGTAGGGTGAGTTGATTTTTTTTAAATGTTATTGTTAGTGATTTCCTTTTTTGTAGATTTTCATTGCTAACATAGCTTCCAACTAATTTGTGAAGGATAGAGTTGTAAGAAATATTGATTTCTTTAAACCCACTCCCATTTTTCAGTTATTAGTATCAAAATGTGGCTCCTTATGGCTTCTCTGATTTCACATAGTATTTTACTGATGCCTATTCCTTACAGTCATCTATCAACCATGCAAAGCATTTTTTCCAGATATTTTGCTTGCTTTTTTTATTTATTTTTTTACTGTACCACAAATCACCCTCATTTCTCTTATCTAGTATTATGTTCCCACTAGAAGAATAGCTGCATTTGGCTGCGTGAGACAGCCAAAACTCAAAAAATATGAAAGAAGCACTTACCTATTTTTCCCTTATAGCTCAGATTATTTTTAGAACGGCTTTTAGTAGTCCTATGAAGAACACTTCTTATATTAATATGTTAATGCACATTAAGCTGGTGTCTTCCTTCATTCAAGGACTCTGTCTCTTAAATAACAAACCTTTCAACACAGGAAGTATAGTAATAATAATTTGAACTGTCATTATGTTGTCCAGAGCATAGTTGTCCTTCCTTCCCTGATCAGTTCATTATAAGGGCACAGTGTGTCCCCTGCTGATTTTCAACTTCTTATGGACAGCGAAACATACAGTAACAATGGAAAAAGAAATAATCTGAGAAGAAAGAGAATGAAAAATAAACTGGAGTTTTCAACTGTAAGGAGAGCAGATGTTATATTTTGTGCAAATAATGTTCACATTTACTGCAGTCACATTGTTATACAATAATTGTTTCCAAGACAGAAATGTATCTGTTGTTTAATGAAGTTATCTTGTCTGACCTTATCTTGTAAATGCTAAAAGTAGGAGACTGGCAAAAACTTTACTAAATTCCTTGTCTTTTGAACATTTCTGTAATCTTTTCCAATTCAGTAAGTTTTGTGTAACAGGGTATATCACTTAAGGTGTGATGTTACTTCTGGGATGGCTCCAATTCTGTAAATATTTCCGTAAGTCTTTGTGTAACATTTTGTGGTTGCACTGACTCTGCTAGAAGCAGTTTAATGATTTCTGCCTCCGATTCATTCTGAATCCTCCCACTTTATGATGTTCTCATCTAACAGTTATCATTTTTCTCCCTCTCTGAGATGATGATAATAATTACATAAAACTATAGTAGGAGAAAAAACTAAAATAAATATGGAAAATGGAAGGCCAAAGCTATTTTTGTTACAGCTCTCAGCTGACCATTGGTAAGTGATACTAAGAATGTTATATAAAAGCACTGTAGAAAAAATAATTGTGAAGAAGGCAGGTTCGTCTAACAGTTGGTAAAGCCCAACATTTTAACATGAATCAGATTATTTTACTGAAAACTATTTGCATCAGTGTTTGCTCTACTAGCAGAGGTACAGCTAAGCACGGAAGGCACATTTTCTGCCCTTCATTCAAAAGACAGATGTATAGGAAGTGAATGAATATTCAGTGTTAGTGGACAAAATAAGTATTTATTCTTAGTATTAGTGGCTATTAATAACAGAGAAACATAATAGAGTTTTGGTTTAGGTTTTTCACATTGACACTTTGAAATTGTGAGCTGAGAAAGCCTTCATCAGAGATGAACTGAATGATTTTGGTGGAGTAAGGGGGAAAATCTCTCATACTGCATTATTTGAATGGTCATGGATCTAGGAGATGATGTAAATGGAAAGCATTTACAAAGATCTGAAAACTGTCTGTTTAGTTTATCCTATAAATGGTCCAGAGATAATCTAATTAGTACTCATCCTAGTATCAATATATAAGAATAATCACTTGAAACTCATAACGTGAGCTCAAGAAAGGATCTGCTCATGAAATGCATGTTGCTTTTTCAGTAAGTTATGTTGTAAAATGTGATTGGGTTTTTTGGACATTTTCAGACTGGATGACAAATAGATGACAAAAATTCTAATTTCTGTCTGTTCAGGCTATGGATAAAATATAAAATCCTGAATACAACTACATACACGGAGCCTTTTTTAGGTTATTAAATAAGTCTGCATTTCCTTGTTAAAGTACTGAACTGTGAAGTGATTATAATCTGTGCAGGTTGATAACAGAGGTAGAAATTATACCTGTCTTGTTTTATTAAATCATAACCCATTAAACGTTTTTTTTCCTTTTCAAAAATTGTACTTTAACAACTTAAGTCTTCTTAGACCATGGTTTAAATTTCCTTCTGATAGCTTTTTCCATTGTATTTGGATACTTCCAGCTTGCCGCTGATAAAAGGCTTGTTAGTTGGGCATTTTTTGGT